TAAATATTACTTCTATTTCCTGAAAACTACTGTACTCTGCCCTTGGTGGTACCATGCCTTCTAAGTTTTCAATAACTAGTTAAATATCAAAGAGCTGTAGGAAGAAAAAAAACAACAACTGAATCTTGATGAATACAAAGGGGACTTCCCAGATGAAAATGAAGCTAGGCATTTGGGAGGACTAAGAAGTAACTTAATTAGAGACAGAATCAAGAGAACCAGGTCAAGAGACCTGGAGCTACCACTACGCTCTTGGAGCTACCACTATGCTCTTGGGCTACCACTACGCTCTTGGAGCTACCACTATGCTCTTGGGCTACTAAAGTCACATTTCCCTGCCTCAGTTTCCCCCTTTTGAAAGTAAGGTAGTGGACTAGATGAATACAAAAACTTGTTGAAGCTCTAATAATATGTGATCAGTAGTAGCTCATTCTCATTTTTTCCTTGATATTCTTCTGAAGTCCAAGAGTGGGATGTAAAGTAACAAAAGGAGATACTTATCTAGTTTAATGTCCCTAAACTTGTTAGAGGAACAGTGAATTCCTGTTACTGAAGCACAGAGAGGCGAAGTGGCTTGCTCAAGTTCACATGGCTAGTCACAAAGCAGAGCATCACAGTAAAGCAGCCCCGTGTCTGCAGACCAGGGCTGGTTCTATCAAACCAGGTGATTTTTTTGTTTCTTTATTGTGTAGATTAAACTGTAACTGGTAGGTACAAGGGTTGTATTCATGAAATTTCCTATACCCATAGCTCATTGTATGCTAGAACTCTAGTAGACGCTTAAGAAAAATTAATTTGTACGCTGGCACTTAAATTTCCTACTGTACACATTTTTGGGTCAGCTAGAGGGTGCACCCAAAAAGAGAAATAGTCTTATGAAAAGTTCGGGAAACTTCTTCCAAATTTCAGAACAGAGGATTATTACACAGGAAGCAATCTCTGACTTGCATAATCCAGGCAGCTCCCAACTGACTTCACAGTGTCTCCACACTAAAGGACTGACCCCAACATATAGGTAAATAAGCAAAGAGCAGTCTTGGCTCCTCCCATACAGAAGTGGGGAAAGATGGCCATTAACTTCCATGTGCCATGGAAAATAGAGCCTATGTGTCACATTATATTCCAAGACCAGAATTGTGAACACCAAAATCTACTTCAGAGGAAGCAGAAGGAGCCAGAAACCTGTATTAGAACTTGAGTAGGTGATTTGTATTTATATAGTGAGATAAGACTGTTACATAAAGGGCTTTGTTAGACATGCTAAATTACACTGTTCAAATGCCTCTTAATCCTCTAGGCAAGTACATTTCCCTTCCCCATATTACCTTATGCAATCTTCTCTCCTGTGAATAACCATCACATTTTATTTGTACTTCTCACATGGCACGTATTAACCTTTTCCTCCAGGTGTTCTTTTAAGATTTTATTTATTTACTTATTTATTTGAGAGAGAGAGCAAGCGAGAGAGAGCAAGAGCAGGGAAGGGCAGAGGGAGAGGGAGAAACAGACTCCCCGCTGAGCAGGGAGCTGGATTGGGGACTGATCCCAGGACCCTGAGTTCATGACCTGAGCCCAAGGCAGACACCCACGTGCCCCCCGCCAGACGTATTTCTTTAATTTTTTTTTAAAGATTTTATTTATTTATTTGACAGAGAGACAGCAAGAACAGGAATGCAAGCAGGGGGACTGGCAGGCAGAGGGAGAAGCAGGCTCCCTGCTGAGCAAGGAACCCGATGCAGGACTTGATCCCAGGACCCTGGGATCATGACCTGAGCTGAAGGCAGACGCTTAACCGACTGAGCCACCCAGGCATCTCTCTCCAGATGTATTTTTAACCAAGTGTTCTGTTCATATATATTTATTGACCATATTAGAGACCAAGTTTGAGATGTGTAAAAATAACTCTGGAGCCCCCCAAATCTCATACTTTTAATGGAGGGAACACGCACAGGGACAGACTACTGTTTGTTGGTTTTTTTTTTTTTAATCATTCATACTGTTAAACAATGAGCATCACAAAGCAGACAAAATCTTATTCTCCTTTGTAGCTCCCACAGAGTAGGTGCTCAGTAAATGTGTGTGTTGAGTGAGTAAATAAATATTTTTTAAGTCTCTAGGAGAATATATTCTATTTCATTAATTAATTCATTCAATTGCCTCTTCATTCAGTGCCCTTTTTTAAAATTATGCTTAACAATTGCACTACTGGGTATTTACCCCAAAGATACAAATGTAGGGATCTGAAGGGGTATGTGCACCCCGATGTTTATAGCAGCAATGTCCACAATAGCCAAACTATGGAAAGAGCCAAGATGTCCATCGACAGATGAATGGATAAAGAAGATGTGGTATGTATATACAATGGAATATTATGCAGCCATCAAAAGGAATGAAATCTTGCCATTTGCAATGACGTGGATGGAACTAGAGGGTATTATGCTGAGTGAAATAAGTCAATCAGAGAAAGACATGTATCATATGATCTCACTGGTATGAGGAATTCTTAATCTCAGGAAACAAACTGAGGGTTGCTGGAGTGGTGGTGGGAGGGGTGGGGTGGCTGGGTGATAGACATTGGGGAGGTTATGTGCTATGGTGAGTGCTGTGAATTGTGTAAGACTGATGAATCACAGACCTGTACCTCTGAAACAAATAATACATTATATGTTAAAAAAAAAAGAAGAAGAAGAAAGCAGGAAGGGAAAAATGAAGGGGGGGAATCGGAGGGGGGAGACGAACCATGAGAGACTATGGACTCTGAGAAACAAACTGAGTGTTCTAGAGGGGAGGGTAGAGGGGAGGGGTGTGGGGGGATGGGTTAGCCTGGTGATGGGTATTAAAGAGGGCACATACTGAATGGAGCGCTGGGTGTTATATGCAAACAATGAATCATGGAACACTACGTCAAAAACTAATGATGTAATGTATGGTGATTAACATAACATAATAAAAAAAATTAAAAAATTATGCTTAACCTTATTTTAAGTATTGGTCCAGTGTTCATTTAATTTTAGTTTGTATTACTGAAAAAATAATAAATTTTATAATTACAATTATATAATACCTAACATCAACATGGCACTTTTTCCATCAATTATTTTTTCAATCAGTTCATTTATATAAATGAATTATTTTCAAATTGTCTTTTTAGTTAGTTGTAGTTCCAAGAAAGCATTAAAATAATTCTCTGAAATGAGACTTGTTTTCATAGCTTGCGCTGATTGATTCTAGTTCATAATTCTTTAGGTTTTATTACTGTCCATTGAGTTACTAAATGTTAATTGATCATCGTGACCTTACAGATTATCTTTTTAGAGTATGTTTTAAGTCATAAATAAAGAGTAGTTTCTTTTGTATGGAAGAGAATGTATCTACAGCTTTGGAGTTTTAATAATCTCAGCATTTAAAGCAAATTATTTTTGTTTTTACCATGAAAATAACTTTCCTCATTTTTATCCAGTCTCTAGGTAATTTTTCAAGTGGCTAGGAGAAATTCACAGTAGAAAAACTTAGGTACTTATGTTCTGCTTGGCAGAAATAAATTTGATTATAAAGACCTGTATTCTAAATGTATTTTTAAATTATAGAATTTCTCCTAATTATAGGAGTAAAATATGTTCATTGTAGAAAACTTGGAAAATGCAGGGTATTTAAAGAGGGGGGAAAAAGCCACTTAGAGTGGTGTTTGTACTTTTTATACAAATTTACATACTGATTTTTCACTTAAGAGCATTTAAAAAAAATCATTTCTAAAGCCTGAAATTGGGAAATCTTTAGTAATTAAGTGAAGAGTCAGAAGACTTGGAAGCTCAGAAAAACTGTCAATGCAAAATACATGAAACTATCTGAGGTTTCATTTCAGGGAGTTCATTACAGGCTTTCTTTAAAATAAACCAAGATATTAATTTTAAAAGATCTCTATTTCCCCTGTTGAAGAAATTATGTGAAATAGACAACAAGTGATCAGGCTTTTTCTCTTTGAATACTTGTTAAAGAGTCATGAGAGAGGAACAGTTTTCTAAATCAGAAGAACAAAAAAAGAACAAAGGGAAATTATTTTCCTTCATGCAAAGTTTATCATGTTACTTTCCAACTTCCTTTTCATTAGTGGGATAAAGAGTACACAATTCAGACAGTTAGGTGATCTGGGTATAGTTTCCGTAAGCCTAAGTTTCTCCTGCGTGAAAGGAAGGGATACTATTGGAAAAAATTTAAATTCCCTTGTAGTGAAATATATGTGGGAAAGAAGATATGTGTGTGCATTTATGAGGTGTTTAATATATATATTTTTTCATGTATTACATCTGTATATGAATAAATAATATATAAGAAAAATAAAAGATATCTATATATTCATATATATCTATATGAAAGAGGAGATATATATATATAATATATCTATTTCATATATGTATATATGAAAGAGAATAGACCTATAAATCTGAGAGTGTCTTCCTGATACTTATCTTCTATTGGGGAAGCATTTAATAATCAAAACCCTGGATTTGATTGGTCTTAATTTGGCTGTCAATCCTAGATAATTAGTAGTTATTCTGGCTTCTAAATAAAAATCTTGTGAGAAAGGACATTGGATTAAAAGTCAGAATACTTGATTCTCATCCTTGCTCTATTATTAATGAATTATCTTTCTCTGGAAAAGCCACTTAGCTTCTCTGGTTTTTCTCATTTTTTAAATAGGCTGGTAGACTAGATGTCCAATAAGTTCCATCCCAGCTCATAAAATATGGTTGTAGGACTACTCCAGTTCAATAATTCATTGATGCTAGTTTCTAAAAATTATTCTATCATCCTAATAGTCAAGCAAAATGTCAGAAAGTGAGGTATTTAATCTAACATTTCTAACAAAATTTTTACAATATTTAAGGAATGTGAGCAAAATAAAGGATATGCACATTTACACATGAAAGATATAGTATATACATGGTGAAATATACATATGAAAAATATTTAATTTATATTCACATATAATTGCCATTTAATAGGAGAAAAACTTAAACTAAATACAAAAATTTTCTTATCTCTTTCTCTCAGTCTCAATCCCTAATTCTGTTTTTCACATCATTACATTTTAAAGAAATAGATTTTACCAAATCAAGTCCTCATCCATTCATTCATTCATTTTGTATCATTACTTCAACTAGTTCATACAGAGTACCAACTATCAACAATGTTATAGGTACCAAGCATACTTCATGGTACCTATATGGAAGGTTATGGTTTCTGCCTTCCTTCAGTTTAGAGTCTATGGGGAAGGAAGACATTTAACCGATGATGACACAAAAATATAAATCGGAAATTGTGGTGAAAGCCAAGAAGGTAAAAGAATAGGGATCTAATTTGGACTTGGGAGTCAGGAAAGATCTCTCTGAAAAATGACGTTTAGGAGGAAGCTGCAGGGGTGAGTAGGAATTCACCAGTCCGGGTGAATGAGAATATGCATTCCAGGCAGAGAGAGCAGTGTACATAAAACACTCAGGAAACAACGTGCTTTGGAGATTGGGAATCTAAACATCTTCACCTGGTGAGTGTGAAGGGAGTCTGGAGACATAGGTCTTACAAACCCAGTCAAATATTTGGGATTTTACTTAAAGAACCCTGGGAAATTTTGCAGTAATTTAAGCAAGATAGTAGTATCATCAGATTTACATCTTTCAAAGAGAACTCTAACATTATATTGTGAATCAACTGAAGAAAGGCAAAAGTAAAAAAACAAAGCAAAACAAAAGAGACTTTTGGCAGTAGTTTCAATGAGAGAAGATTAAACTAGGGTGGTAAAAATGGAAATGGTGAAAAAGAAACAGGTTCAAGATACATTTTGGAGGACAGACCAAACTCAGTAATAGAATAGACCAAATTCAGTAATGGAATAAATATAAGTAAACAGAGGAGAGGTAAGTGGCAAAGGTGATAATCTGATTTATGCAATGTGCATGAGGGTGGATGAAGATGGCATTCACTGAGTGGAAGAAGATGAGAATCATGTTGGTGGTGTAGAGGTCAGTTTTGATAGTGCTCAGAAGTCATTTTAGGTAGACAGTTGCATCTGTAAGTCTGAAGCTCTAACAAAAACCCTGGAGAAATAATTAGGAATCATCAGCATGTAAGTGGCCTTAAAAAGTGTGTGTGTGTGTGTGTGTGTGTGTGTGTGTGTGTAGGTGAGAAAAGAATGATGGTAATATTAGATGAGGACCCAGAGCTAGCTGTAAAGGAATTTAAGCATTTAGTTTTGAGAGAAAAGGAGTTACCAGAATATAGGAGTTAGAGAAAGAACAGCCAGAAAGGGTGAAAGGAAAACCAGAAAATGTGTGTCACAGAGGCCAAGAAAAGAAATTGTTTCCTGCAGATCATCATGGTCAATATTGCTGCATATCAAGCAATAATGGAATCTGAAAATAGTTCATTGGAAAACAAAAGCAATCTAAATGGAATAGTAGAGGCAAAAGCTGACTGACAAGTACGTGAGGGGAGTTGAAAGATGAGAAATTAGAGGAATTAAAGGAAGCATACACGGTTAACTTTTCTGAGAAGCATGCCCGGGAAAGGGAGCAGAAAGAGTGGTAAATAAAATATGGTGAATTAAAGATGGATAAGATCAGAACATATTTTGAATGCTTTTGGGGAAAGCCCTTTAAAAAGTAAGATGATCAAAATTCAATAAAGTCGGAAGAAGAATATTAGAACAAATACATGTTCCTCACCTTGTTCTACAAAACTCCTTGAGGGCCCCTCATCAGGTCTCTGGCTGATCTTACAATGCTCTTCCCTCTGTTCTCTTCCTTGGGCATGCTAAGAATTCTTCCAGGATCTTCAGCTTTGGAACCTTTGCACAAGCCCTACCCTCACAGGAATTCTCTTCCCCCTGCTAGTCGCTGGGCTGACCCTTCTCTGTTATTCAGATCTTAGTTCTGGAAATGACCTCCCTGACCATCCACTGAATTCAAAGCCATCTCCAAATCTTCACATCCGGTTCCTTCTTATAATTCAGGCTCAGCTTCAGTATCTGTAGTGAAACCACCCCCGACCACCACCCAGTGTAAATTAGTAATCCTCCCCCATCCACACTCAGTCATGCTGTTAACTGTTAGCATAGCAGATATCACATTTTCTTGTTTATGTATGTGTTTATATGTTTATGGTATGTCACTTCCCCCTAGAATGTAGACCGTACGAAAGCAGGGGTCTCATTTTACTTGTTCAATGCCATATCCTCAGAATGTGTGACAGTGCTTGGCATACAGTAGGGTGCTCAATAAAAGTTCGTTTATTGGTTGGATGATGAGTTCAATTTATAAGTCAGTCTTCTTAGAAAACATCTAGAAATTAAAAGGCACATTATTATAAGTTTTAATCAAATTCAGCACAAATATACAGGTAACAGATTAGGGGACTATAGTGAATAACATTATAATTTGGAAAATATTATAAAGGATTTCTTTTTAATAGATAATCTTAATGATTCTATTATCTCTTATCATAATACCTACTCTAACTTTCATCCCTCAGGTATGTACTACCTAATAGCAAGAGAAGGTTTTTTGGAAGTACTTTGCTATTAGAAAGTAGTCAGTCTAGGGTGCCCAGGTGGCTCAGTCAGTTAAGCACCTGCCTTTGGCTCAGGCCATGATCCTAGAGTCCTGGGATCGAGCCCCACATCGGGCTTCCTGCTGAGTGGGGAGCCTGCTTCTTCCTCTCCCTCTGCCTCTCCTCCCCATTCGTGCTCTCTCTCAAATAAATAAATAAAATCTTAAAAAAAAAATAGTCCAGTGTAAAAAATTTACTATGGATAATCCATTTGGTGGATAAAACCTATGTATGAACTCAAGAGTGTATTTACATTCAGCAAACATTTATCAAGCCATGTACTATCCTAGACATAATGGGATTAAAAAATGAATAAAATGCAATAGATTGATCTCTATTAACTCAAAGATCTGTGAGTGATTAAAGATACAAAAGTTAACGAGACTGTTCTTTGAAAAGACTATGATACAGTTTGAACAAAATAATGAGAGATCCGTTTGTTTTAACACCTCTGGGCCATGAGCTCTCACTTATATGAATTTAGACACCGTACAAATGCTTTCATTCCTTCTAGGGGCAAATCATTAATACGAAATTCAGTTACCCTGGTATATAACACCTTTCCCCATATCAAATGAAAGTCATTTTCACAAAGAAGGGGGAGGGAGAAGGCTATTTTTGATGCCAGTGTTTCAGTGGAGCAATTAAGCATCTGGCTGTAATAGGAGGAGGTTGCCATATGAAAAGAAGTACAACAAAGAGAATTATCATGCTCAATGGTTGTGCAATGTCAGCTTATTATTTCTGGAAGGGCCTTAAGATTAGAAAATGACTCTTCTTGAGTTACAGGGCCTATAAAGCCGAGTAACTCAGAAAATACTGAAAAGGAATACAGGAGAAAATAATACAAAAATAAATAGCAATAGAAATTGTGTTGAGCTGAGCATGAACCTTTGGAAAGAGAGGGAAGATTTTTGCATATCTAAGAAAATCTCATCACAGGCCTCCCTGAAAGATTAAAATGATTTCAATATTTCCCCATTTATTTAATGCAAACAGGTATGGCTTGCTCTGACAAAACATCACATTTCCTACTCAGGTGCTATTATGCAGAGACAGAACATCAAGTTTATATGGGTTGCTCAAAGTCATTCTTAAAGACCAAGAGTAAGTGCTGAAAATAATGATTGGAAATGTTTGTATCTCAGAGATCTTTTTCTCGCAAACATTTCTTTGGGCTTATTTCCTCTCAAAGGATTGGAAAGCACTATTAGCAATATATCTCATTCAAACAATAATGAGGAAACAGGTCATTCGCCTTTTGAAAACTGCAGTATCTATTTAGATGTCATCTATCAGCTGTTCAAAGGAAAGAATAAGGCAAAAGCAGAGGGAGGAATATTTCTGCGTCGAGATTTCTGGATGAAAGAGAAGTATTCCCCTATATATTACTTCATATCTAGTTAACAGCACAGAATACAACTACTTTACCAATTTTAAATTTAGCACATAAAGTATTAATTTCCAAAATATTTTGAAATTGTTCTGAGAAAGCTATCCTAAATATAATAAATAAAAACAGTATAAATACAAATTTGCTAACATTAAACTAGTGGGAAGCTTTTCCGTATCTTTCACTTTCAAAGAAATTTCGAGTCATTAAGCAGTATTAATTCTTCTATCCAAATTTTTTGCTATAATAAACCAGTGACACTTATATACTAACTAAAGCATAATACAGAATACCATGGCTCTTCTGTTTTGTTATTTTGCTCAGTGTCTATCTTCTAAAAAGCAAAAGGCTATGTAAAGAAAAGTATATTATTTGAAAACAGAAATAAAATGCTGTTTTATCAGAAATTTCCACAAGGAAAAATGAAGAAAATCTGATTTTTGCTTTTTTGTGTGTGCATGCCGTCTGTTCCCACACTTGCAAGTAGCAACTTTAAACCTCTTGTTCCTTCTTTGTTATCCTGCAAAGTCCTTGTTCCTTTCCACTATTTCACATTGAGCATGAGCAACTCATTTATAGATGGTTCCAGATTCAATCTGTTTTGCCGCATGTTGAAGTTAAAAAAAAAAAAAGGTAAAAAACACCCTGCTTTAGTATGACTGGCCGTTTGTAGTATATTTTACACGTCTGAGACCAAAAATGGTCTGCTTTCAAGTTATTGCTTAAATTGTCCCAGGCTACGGGTTTTAAGGTCACATTATGAATTTTCCCACATTTATGATCCCGACACATTTTATATTTAGCCTTTTGTGAAGAAGAATTTGTCTTTACCTTGAGCTCTGTTTGTGCTAGGCCGTAAAATCAGGTGGTGACCCAGTGGAATCAATGGGGACGTTAAAGAGACTACAGCAAAAGGTCCAGACCAAGAAAGCCAGGGTGCCGAGTCTGAAGGAGATGAAACCTACATTCATAAATCTCCGTAAGTCAGCAGTCAAAATGCTGCTAAAAGTTCTTTGAGAAAGAACTGGGGTGGCGTATATGAAATGAAGGCCATTTTGATAAGGCCATAAAATAATCATTAAACGTTGAGGGTTTTCAAATTACCAATTTATTTGTGAAACAGATATCCTTAACCTATTCCTGAATTTTACTTTATATACCCCATATCTTCTTCCCTTCAAGACCAGACTCAGGGATAGAGTGGGAGAAAGAGTCCGGATCAGCACTGTACACTATCCCCATTCTTTGGCCACGGAAAGTAATATCTTTCAATTTTGACGTGCAACTTAGATGTTCGTTTCTTTATTCACAATTACATGCTATTGATCGTAATCTTTCATTTACACCAGTTAAACATTTGAACTGAAAGAGATTCAATGATACAGTACAATTTACTATGGGTAATACATATTTCTAATTTCTGTAACTGTTTTATATATTACCAGAAATTTCATCAGACCCTTCACCACATGTAAATATAGGTCTCACTCATCAACTTCATAGTATTGAAGATACACCTTCTTTTTGTTGTTTTCTCAGTCTTGATCTTCCTTTTTGAAAATATTTCACTGTGACAAATACCGTATGCATAAATCTCTTTATAGATTGATACCAGAAAAAAAAATTAGAATCAAGAGGATTTCAGCCCATGCACAGTGAGATTTCATTTTCTTATGAAAGGGGAATATTTCATCTACTTCCTTGTGATGCTGTCTATACACATTACCTCAAAAAATTTAAAAAAAAATATTAAGAATATAAGCATACCATGTCATGTCTATAAGATGTGGGGAATTTTTTTTAATTTAAAATTGTAATTTTTCTGAATCTTTCAGTATACTATTTGCATGTGGCTTTCAGTCATTGTAGTCAAACTGAATTTAATCATTATATACAGCTTCAAAATATTTTAGGTAAACTTATCTTTACAAAACAAAGCATTTACTATACAAAAGATCACTCTTTAAAGAATTGCAGTTATAAATTATTTTGTTAAATTAAATGACTTCCCATTTTATCCTGTGGTGTTCACTCATTTCTACTATAGAAAAAGAAATATAATATTCATAATTTCTACATGTGCAAAATTATTAGACTTACTTATTTTTCTTTGTCATTCAGAAGATGAAGATGAGATGTTGATTTCCTGTATAAAATTAGCCAAATCCCAAGAAAAAAAAATTAGTACTGTTAGCACAAAAGGAAAGGAAGAAATGAAGATTGGATTGGATTCTATTTCGGCATCACTAGCTAGATCCAGCACTGCAACTGGATGCAACTTGGCCGACATGTTATCCCACAATGAAGGTGAAGTTCAGATGTGGAACAGCTGGAAGACTTTTCCGGAAAACCCTCTCTGGGCATGTGCTGATTTCCAAATTGCCCAAACTGGACCCTGGAACAACTGTTCTCGCTGCACTCACCACCCACCACTTAAGCCTTCTTATACAGATACGGATCTCCCCCACTCTTGGGTAAGTTTGTAAGCTAAAGCAATATATCATCTCATCTGGATGTTTGTACCTGCAGAAAAGAAATAGATAACGAAAGTGCTAATCAGTCAAATTTATCAGTGTCAGGAAAGTTACTAGAACTAGACTTGTCTAAAAAGCAATGCAGCTCTTGCGACTTTTGCTATCATGTTACTGTTGTGTATAGACCTTGTGTTCAAATAAACTACTGCACGGTATTTTTTAGAGAATTTTTTTTTTTTTTTTTAGTTGAGGGAAGACTTTGGATGTTCATTCAGATCAAGATGTGGATTGAATTGTCTAAATCACTGCAGTGGTCATGAAGTTTCACTGACAAACAAGAGCTAATTTAAATAAGCGTTTTCCAAGTGCCTGCCATTCCTCTAAGCACTTTATTATTTTATTTAAATCTCACAACAACCCTGTAAGGTTGTTGTAAGTAGGGAAAGTTATTCTAATACTGATTTCCCCATTTTATGATTGAGAAAAATGAGGCACAAAAAAGTTAGCAACAGGTACAATGTCACAGAGCTCACAAAAAGTGGAGCCAAGATCTAGAACCTAGACAGTCTTATGCTAAGGATCCTGCTTTTAGCTAATATATTATAGTGTTTCCCATACACTAAACTAGGCCCTAAGGCAATATGGTGCAAGAGAAAGAGTATGGACTGTGGGGTTACACAAAATTGGGTTTGGATCCAAGCTCTGCTACTTGTTTGGCTTGGGCAAATGAATTAAAACCTTTCAACTTAATTTTCCCAATTATAAAATGGAAATAGTAATATTAAATTCATGAGGTAATTGAGAAACCGAAACTAAATAACACAAATATCCTAGGACTTAAGAGTAATTTTTTTTCACCTTGATTGTAGGTTACTTAAGGCATGTATTTTGTACCTTCATTTCTCTACAGTTCATGGTCATTTGTACTTGTAGTGAATAAATGGAACAACTTTGTGTTTCTAGGATCCCTACTCTAAACCATTTTGCTCTAAGAATCCGTCTCTCACTGGACAGAGGCTATATTTCATGGTGCATTAGAGCTCTCTGAAGAGGCTTGGAGTCCTTTTCACCTTTCAAGACTTGTGTATTAAGTTAGAGCTAAAGTAATCTGTGTTCAAAGTACCACATTAAATATTACAGGTGTCTAGCAGCAGACTTGGAACTGATAAAACTGTCCAACATCAATTATTTTTAGGAACATCTCTGCCACTTCCTTAGTCTTCATCTTCTCTTTTGGGGCCACTGGACTTTGCGGACTTCTTCCTGGAGTACTTTCTTAGACAGCAGCTGGTAATATAATTAGGAACTACTTCTGAAGACTCCCCTTGACAGCTTCAGAATCAGGATCAAGAATAATGACTACTTGGCAAGTAGTAAAGCTGGCGTATAAGAATCTGAATTCACATATTTAGAGCTTCTTTTAAGAGTGAAATCTGGAATCCTTAACTTGGCAGTCCTGGATTTTAGCAATCTGACCTCAACCTAACGGTTCAGCATTGTCTACCACTTCTTCCTTGTGTATTTCCTGTGCTGGACTACCAAACTGGAATGATTTGCTTATTCCTAGTGACTGTCTTGTACTTTCCTGCCTCTCTATCTTTGTGTTTACATATTGGCCTCCACCTAGCATGTTATTCTCGCCTTTAACCATTGCCCTAGCCCTTAAGACTCAGATTACTTTCTTGTCCTTTAGAAAGACTTCCTGGGTCATGCCAGATAGAAGTAATCACTGCTTCCTTTGAAATTCTAGAGAACTTAAAGGCATTATTCTTCCATTATATATTTATCAAACTCATATTGGCATCACTGTATACCAGTTTGCAATATTAGGCACTGGGGCACATACACTGCCCCTGTCTTCATGGAGCTTACCGTACTCTACCTTATAGTGGAATTAGTTGAGCATTTATTTGCTTTAGGTAATTTATCTTTATATCCTCCATAGTCCCTAAAATATTATGGGTCCTCGACTAATATTTGAGTGGCATTGCTAACTAAATGAATAGAGCTTGAGAAACCAATGGATTTTGTTTCCATAGATCTACATAAAATATTTGTTCCCATTCTTCTAACTGTTCTTACATTAATCCAATTACACATAAACTCAGTTATTGTGTATGTGTGTCTGTGAATGTGGGTCTAGATTTAATTATATAAACATAGTAATGTTTTTCTTTTGGTGGTGGTTTTGTCTGTTTTAGTACATAACTAAATGATTAAGTAAATGAGTTTTATCTGCAGAAGGTCAAACATATCTACAGAATACTCAGAATTTCAGATGATAATGTTCAGCATTTGTGACAGGAAAACCTCACTGGATTTGGAGAGAGAGTTCAAGAACATGCTAGAGTTAAATTGGTTTGGTAACCTTAATGAGACCACTTACACTCAGGGATTTGAGACACAGAATGAAAGAAGTTGGATGAGTGCAAATTATTATTTTTATATTCTACACATATATTCTATAATAATACCAAGTGAAAAATACCCACTTTCATTTTAGCATAGCTGGTATTTTTTTCTGTAGTAATTGCAGGGTTATTATTTGGGTTATACTTTAACTTTCATTCTATAGAAGGTACAGAAGGCAAATGGTATTGAGGGAAAAGTTGTGCTTCTGAAATGAGTGTTACTTACCATCAATGACAGGTAGTCAGAGGTGATATTTTTGCAATTTTAAAGGGTAAAAGTGTGACCAGATTTTTTTTTTAATCTACCAACATATGCAGATATGCTGGAGCTGAGCCAAAACCCCACATTTCAGGGAAAATGAAACCAGTCCACAAAGACACTAGTTTCTCCTTGACTCGAGAAATTTCAGCAACAGTAGATTCCAGTGTCTTTGATCCTGTTATCAAAGCAGAGTTTTCAGGGGGCCTGAAATTGACATGTCTTCCAGAAAGTTCCAGAAAGTGATAATCCCACAGCAGGCTCATGCTCTCAACGCTGGTTCTGATAGAACCGGGTTTAACGCCAACTCTGATATCACCAGCACAGTGAGCTTAGGCAAACTCCTCACCCTCTTTAACCCACTAATTCCAAATCTGAACATTGCTATCAGACCCTGCTCATCCCCTCTCTTCTGAGTGACTCTTTCTATACTGAAAACACCCATTTGTAAAACAAGGTTATCAACATCTACCACGAGGGGCTGTTGGGAAGGTGAAAGAAAATGGTGCCAGGACTCAGGTGATACTCAGGTTCACTCAGGTGAACCAAAGAATCCAGAGGCTTGTGCTGGGCTTGGAAAGCAGCAATATTTTAGTCATTGGAAATACCATAAACAACCTGAAATCAGACAGGGAATGTATTATTTGTGAAGAGCTTTTCACAGAAGTCAACAGGACGTGGATGAGACACCCACAGATCTTTAACATGCAGTTTAGTTGTTTGCAAGGTCTATGGGATCTGGAGTGTGGGGGACGATAAGTGATTACGGAATTGATATAAACTGAGAAAGGTAAAGACCAGATTTATGCAAGTGTGTACTCCACAAGAGAAGTGTACAAGGAAAAACTACTTAAGGATGCAGTGTTTCTTCCCATATCTGAGGTGAGTGGTATAGAAAGGGGATTTCAGATGCATTTAAGAAAGGTAATAGTGGAGGTAACCAAAAATTATATTTGAAGCCAAGTGTTTACAATCAGTTTACAAGAAGAGTGATCAAAGCATACTTACGATGAAGCTCTGCATTCTAAGAGCTTGAAACATCTTAACAAAAGAGGAAAGTGAGTCAGAAGAGACTTGGTTGGGAAGAAGGGAAAGAAAGAATAAAATACATATGTTGCAAAGGAGATGAGACCTTCCCTTAGTATAATGTTACGATAGTAGTAAACATACTTTTCACAACCTGGGATAATTTTTCAGATTTATAAGAAGGATAAACAACTTTTTTTTTTGTAATATAAAGAAATGGAAGTAATCTTGACATGGAAAGGGGGAGCAAATATCCATTTCTCCCTTCGTATGTCTAAAATATTTTATAAAAATAGTTTGATACATTTAAAAAGTGATAATAGCAAAAGCTCTTTCAGGAAGAAGGAAGGTCAAAGGCCTGAAATAACAGAACAGAGACCCAAGTGCAGGATAATTCAAATACAATGTGGATAGAAAAGTAATAATGGGAATTGGATAAAAATCAAAGAAAAACAAGTGAGGTTTATATACAGAATCTCAAGGTGAGAAAATAAACAGAGCTCTACTGAAAGCATCTTAAAGTACATGAGAAGAGTGGAGAAGAGTGGAGCACTAAGGTCTTGTTGGCGTAGTATGTGAACTACTGCACAACTGCACCAGAAGAGACAGCATGGATAATGGAAAATTCCTCTAGGGAACTGTTTCAGTGAGAGGAACAGGATGTGTGCTAAAGTTCACCAAGAAATAAAGGAACAAAATATTTTACAATTAACCTTTCGATTCGAATGGGGAGTAGTGAGCCCTCTAAATATTGACACGGGAAAATGCTCCAGCGACCCATAGACCCATTGCTGAATGGTATAGGGGTTTTTATACTGACCAAGAAAACTACTGATCTGTGGGAAAGAAGTGACCAAAGCAGGATCAGCTGTTTGGGGGCTTCTTCTACTCTCTATTCTCCACCTTGGCAATCTCTCCCAGTCTCTCCGACCCTGGTCTGCTTTCTTCAATCAACATGACATTGTCATTACCAGATTAATCTACCAGATTAATTTACTTGACTAATCTACCTGATTAATGATTCTAAAGCTCAAATCTAATGTTACTGCTCCCCTCACAAGCCTTTAAATATCTCCCCAACACCAACAGGGTCAAATGCAAACTCATTCACCTAATCTGCCCTCTTCACTAGATCCCCACAAGTCTCTTTCACAGACACACTCTGCCGTCGGCAAGGTGATAACCAAACACAATGATTTTTCTCCATCTTCATAGCTCTGTTTATACTGTTTGCTCATTTAGTCCTTCCTTCCTTCCCTATCTATATGATGAATAGTATGGAAGTTTAAAAGTATAGATGGATA